CCATTCCGGGCGCCACCGACCACCCCGCTGGCTACTGGCAAGGAGATGGCCGAGGGCGCTGCAAGCCAGGAGGAGCAGAGTCCCGAGGCTCCGGACTCCCCCAGCCCTATCTCTAGCTTTTTCAGCGGGTCTGGGAGCAAGCAGCTGCCGCAGGCCATCATCATCGGCGTGAAGAAGGGCGGTACGCGGGCGCTGCTGGAGTTCCTGCGCGTGCACCCCGATGTGCGCGCGGTGGGTGCCGAGCCCCACTTCTTCGATCGCAGCTACGACAAGGGCCTCGCCTGGTACCGGTGAGTTTCCGCGCCAGGAGCAGGGGCGCCGGCCGCGATCCAGACTGAGCGAAGGGAGACGTGGCATATGGAGGGGAAGTGGCAGGGGTATAGCTTCGGACCACCCGGGGCGGGAAGGGACGGAGAAATTGCCGCGCGGTGCGGGGCCGCCGAGCCGCGTGTTCTGCCCCGGCGCGGTCTCGCGTGCACCCAGCTCGGCCTTAGCCGCCGCCCACAGAAACTTCTCTCCGAGTGCTGGCGGCTCTGTGGTCCCTGGTGCCCTACAATTAACTGGGCAACCTCAGCGCCAAGGAGCGGGACTGCGACTAGGACCGCACTCGGGGAACCTGGGTACCCTCCAACCGTGCAGTTGTCCTTTGCTAATCAGTCCAGTGTAGCTGGTGTTTTAGTTCTGCTCGCGGAGCCCGGGACTCTGGGCGGGGTGTTCAATGCCCCTTTGGTCGCGGTCTCCTCCGTGGACTAACTTCTGGAGCAGCTTCTGTTCCCCAGATGTGGATCGGGGTTGGGGAGGAGGCGCCCTGCCAGTTAACTTTTTGGTTTACAGTCCTCGTTACCCGAGCCCCTAGGGGGTCAGACGCGTTTCGCTCGCGAGCCACTTGGGTTTGGGAGGGTGGGCTGGGAGGGTGGCTCCGCGCCGCACGCTGGGAGGGAGGGTCGGCGCCTCCGCCCGGCTGGCAGCGCTCGGAGCGTGGAGCGGTGCTGGTCCCTGTCGGGCAAAGGAGCGCACTGCAGCCGCTGGAACCGCGCGCAGCTGAAGGCTTCAGGGCGCCCGGGGCAGCGCTCTCCCGGTTTCCGCCTCCCCTTCCTTGGTCCTGGGAGAACGCCGGGCAGGGACGCGTGTCTCCGCAGGCCCTTTATTCATCCGGGCTCAAAGAACAGTCGGAGCCGGTTGACTGAGAAGAGGGTTGCTAGAGGGTCGAGGCTTCCGGAATTCAGTTCCGAGTCGGGTCGTGGGTCTGGTCGCAAAGGGACAGCAGTCTTGGGGTCATAATAAAGACTTCTGCTTCCCTAAAGCTTCTCGAAGCTACTGATTTTTGGGTGTGAGCTGTTGGGTTATCCGAGTTTCAGGTGAGGCGCGTGTGGGCATGCGTGGCCAGACTCCGGTCTCGGGAAACCGGGTCTCCGACCGGGGACCCAGGCACCGGCCCCCAGCGTCATGCTCCAGTCACCTACCCCCGCGAGCACAACACCCACGCGTCCAAGATTCCTCTAGGCCCAATGAGCTTCAGAGAAAATTAGAAAAACAGTGGGGGGAGAAGCGAACGAACCTCACTCCCTAGCTTCACCCCACTTTCGGGACCCGAATAGTACTTGGAGAATAAAAGCGAACTAAGCGGGTGGTAAAACCACTTCCTTCCCAGCCTCGCCCTCTCCCCTCGCTCCCACCCACACCCTTTTGTCTTTAATGTTTTTAGCATTGTCAGGAGTTGCTCTAATCTCGAGGTGTAGCCAGCCGTGACAGTCACCCTTCCCACCATTCCCGGGGCACTAGTGGTGAAGAATGGGGGCTCTGGAGCCCGACGCCCGGATTCACGTCCTGGCTGGTGCGCGAGCCTCGGTGAGCTCGTCCGCGCAGTGGGAATAACGCTGGTTCTGGACAGAGCTGAGGAGGGCGACGGCAGCGGGGCAGCCAGGTGCGTGGCTGGCACGAGGGGGCCCCTCTAATTGCTAGCTCTCGTCATCCAGGCCAATGTTGCCGCTTTTACAAACACCGCCACTCCTCCTCCTGTCCTGGCACGACGATTTCGGGGGACGGGTGGCAGGCTCTAACTAGCGCCCTTCCGGGTGGAACCCGCCGGAGCCAGAGGCAGCCCGGGGTTTTCGGAGATCAGACACACTTGGGGCCGGCTAGGGAGGAACTGGCAGGAAAATAACTCATTTTAGAAGCACCTGGGGCAGGCTATGGAAATCCCCACTGGAAGATTCACACAGTCTCTTAGGCGGCTGCCCTCCACCTGCCACGTTCCTTTTGATTAACTCAAAAACGCCGAATCAAGAACGAAGTCGAACTGCAAACCTTTGCTGCCGCGCGCCTTCAGCTGGGAGCGCAGCCGGGGAGCTTTGGGTGGGACCCGCGCCCGGGGCTGCGCTGTGAGCGGCGGTGCTAGGCGGCCTGGACCTGAGGCCCGCGGGGGTTTGGCCTGGCCGCGGGAGACCAGAGGTTCATCACCCGCCGGAGCGATCTTCTAAACTGGCGGGCAGTACCGTAGGGACCCGGAGGCACCCCGCCCGCGGAGGGCGACCAGCCGCACG